AAGAAGAAGAAGAAGAAGAAGAAGAAGAAGAAGAAGAAGAAGAAGAAGAAGAAGAAGAAGAAGAAGAAGAAGAAGAAGAAGAAGAAGAAGAAGAAGAAGAAGAAGAAGAAGAAGAAGAAGAAGAAGAAGAAGAAGAAGAAGAAGAAGAAGAAGAAGAAGAAGAAGAAGAAGAAGAAGAAGAAGAAGAAGAAGAGTGTTATTGTCACTCCTGGCAAAAAATGTTGTGTTAGCATTCCCGGCAACTTTTGAAAATCCGTTTTTCAAAATCTCAGTCACTTGGGACCTTCTGGCTGCATTGGACTACAACTCCCAGAATCCCTCCATGATTTGGGGGGGGATTCTGGGTATCAAAGTCCACAGCACCCTTCGAGAATCCGAAACTGCAGAGATGTCATTGTTAAGATGAAGAAAAAATAACATAACATAACATGAAATAAAATAAAATTGCACTTTGCCCGAAGGAAAGCACTCGGTTCCCTTCACAGACCCATTTTTCTGTTTTTAAAAGGAACTTTACCCCCCTGGGCATGAAATCTGGATTTTTTTTCTTCATTGATGGACTTTGGGGGAAAATCAGAAGCCGGCGATTGAATCCAATCCGCTGGCCGGATGTACGGAGGTAGCCTGGTTTTTATGCTCCCTGTAATCTTTTAGAAATTATATGCCCTTCTGCCGAAAAGGGATGGGACAGGCTGTATTTCTGGGGTCTGCTCCAAATGAGGTCATCTCGGAAAGAATGGCTTGCCAAGGAAACAGACGATGATGTAACGCAGAATGGAATTCTCCGGGCCATCTGTCCTGGTTTGCAGGGGAGCCAGTTCCCACAGACCAAGCCATCTTCCGCTCGGGGACCTCCGAACATGGTCATTTTTTCCCCTTTCAGAAAGATCGCGGCCTATCCCGTAAAATTTTCAAGAGAGCTGGCGAGGATACGGCTACAGGGGGTCGAACGGAAAGATAACCGAAGAACGACAGAGTTGGAAGGGACCTTGGAGGTCTTCTAGTCCAGCCCCCTGCTCAAGCAGAATAACAACAGAATAACAAAGATGGAAGGGACCTTGGAGGTCTTCTAGTCCAGCCCCCATACTATCCCATTCCATACAAATTTGTTGTCCAATCTCTTCTTTAAAACCTCCAGTGTTGGAGCACCCACAACTTCTGGAGAGAAGTTGTGGGTTCCACCGATGAATTGTTCCCACTGTCAATTAATTTGTTCCAAATATCCATTAATTGTTCCAACTGCCCATTAATTGTTCCAACTTCCAATTCATTGTTCCAACTGTCAGTTCATTGCTCCAACTCTTAAGAACATTTTATTGACAGGGAGAAACAATTCATCAGTTGTTGTGGGTGCTTCAACAACTGGAGTTGTTTTGTGTTGTTTTTTTTTTACTAATACTGGGGAGGGGAGGAGAGGAAGGGGGGGCAGAAAAAAAAAAAAAACCACCGGGATTGCTTTATTTATTTATTTTTTTGCAACCCCGGGACAGACGGGGGCGGAAGAGCCCCAAAGTCTGGATTGCTCGGAATCGGAGTCACTCCTCTTTTGCTCTCTCTCTCTCTCTCTCTTTGCGATGCTGTTCCGGGTTAGCAGAGGCGTGCAAAGATGGCAGCGCCCATGGAGTTGTATTGCTGGGCCGGCGGGTGGGGGCTGCCCACCGTGGACCCCGATTGCCTGGCCGTTTTGGTGAGGGCTTTTTGCAAAAATCCGGATTGGGTTTTGCTTTTGCTTTTGCTTTTTTTTTTTTTTGCAAAGCGCAAGGCGCTGCATTCTTCTCCAAGCGGGCGCCCGCGGGGGCGTTGCAACTGCGCCGGGTTATAGGCAGGACATGGATGGGGGGGGGCTCCGAAAATTGGGGAGAGGGTCGCCCTCTGGGTCCTGGGAGCCGAGCCCCTGCTTGCTTCCTGGGGAAAGGAAGAGACACGATTTGCTGCTTTGTTTGAAAGCAGGATTTAAGAAGAGAATAAGAGGAGAATATAGAATATAGTACATATTACAGAATATAGTACACAATAAAATATAGAATACAATATAGAAGATAGAAGAGAAAATATAGAAGATAGAAGAGAATATAGAATAGAAGAGAATATACAAAGAATAAAGAATAGAGAATAGAGTATAGAATAGAATAAAGTATACAATAGAATATAAATACAATATAGAATATAGAATAGAAAATATAGAATATAGAATAGAATAAAGTATACAATAGAATATAGTATACAAAAATATAGAATAGAATAAAGAATAGAGACTATGCTAACTGTACTGTACTGTACTATACTATACTATACTATACTATACTATACTATACTATACTATACTATACTATACTATACTATACTATACTATACTATATAGTATAGTATAGTCCACATGCCTTAAAATTGTCAAGGTTGAGAAACACTGCTATATACTGTACTTACTGTACTATACTGTACTGTACTATACTATACTACTCGGGTTGGTCTAGAAGACCTCCAAGGTCCCTTCCAGCTTCTATTCTATTATTATTATTAATTTTTTCTTAAATTTGGCGGCGTTCAGGCCTTTTGGGGAAGCCCGATCACATCCAGGATGTTATTCATGGCCGGGCTTGCCAAATGCATTAATTAATTTTCCTCTTATTTTTCTTTTCTTTCCCTGCAGACGTACGCTCGTTTCACAGGGGCGCCCCTCAAAGTTCACAAAATCACCAACCCATGGAGAAGCCCCTCAGGTAAGTTTGTGTTTTTTTGGGGGGGGGGGGAATGCAGGTAAGGGGGTAGGAAAACCCTCCCGTTAGGAAATCTCACCATTTTAATTGCTTGGAAAGCAGCGCAGGTTTCTAGCCCTCAAGAGGGAGAGAAGCCAGCCTGCGTACTTAAATGGGGCTCCTTGTCTCTCCAGGCTTTTCCTTCATGCTCATTTCCCCCCCTTTCCCCCCCCCCTCTGCTTTTTTTTTTTTTTTTGCTTTGCAGGATCACTCCCGGCCCTCAAGACGTCCAACGGGGTTTTTTCCGATACGCAGGAAATCATCACCCATTTTAGGAAGCAGGTATGAGCGATCGGCCTGTTTGAATTGAATAGAGCTGGAAGGGAGCTTGGAGGTCTTCTAGTCCAGCCCCCTGCTCAAGCAGGAGACCCTATATCCCACTTCAGACAAATGGCTGTCCAGTCTCTTCTTAAAAACCTCCAGGGATGGAGCACCCACAACGTCCGGTGGCAAGCTGTTCCACTGGTTCATTGTTCTAACTGTCAGGAAGTTTCTCCTTAGTTCCAGGTTGCTTCTCTCCTTGATTCGTTTCCATCCATTGTTGCTTCTTGTCCTGCCTTCTGGTGCTTTGGATAATAAGTTGACCCCCTTTTCTTTGGGGCAGCCCCTCAGATATTGGAAGGCAGCTATCATGCCACCCCCAAACAGTCCTTCTCTTCATTAGACTAGACATCCCCAATTCCAGCAACCGTTCCTTATATGTTTCAGCCTCCGGTCCCCTGATCCTCTTGGTTGCTCTTCTCTGCACTCTTTCTAGAGTCTCAGCATCTTTTTTTACATCTTTTTTACTGCCCTCTTTGCCCCCAACTGATCTGGTCCAATGAGGATAATTAAATTTTAGATTTCTTCCTGTTAGAACTCGCTTCCTTTTTTTCTCTCTCTCTCTCTCCTTCTGTTTTAGCAATTTAATGCAGATTACGACCTCTCTGCCTTGCAAGCAGCCGACACTCTAGCCTTCCTCTCTCTGGTGCACCGGAAACTCCTGCCAATGCTGGTGAGTTGGAGGGGGGGGAGAGAAGAAATTTGGGGAGACAGTGAGGTCACGGCCTTGGGTTCGAGAACCGGAGGGATGGCCTGGATCTGGGCTGTTGTTAGTCCTCGGCTTAACATTGGCTTAGCGAGCATTTGAAGTTACAACAGCCTGTCCCTCTTGAGGACTAGAAACTTCGCTGCTCGGCTTTCCAAACCAAGGCGGCGGCTTTTTCACGGATATTGTTGGGATTCTCCCTCCCGGCAGATCCATACCTTCTGGGTGGACGCGAAGAATTACGTGGAGCACACGCGGAAGTGGTACGCGGAGGCGATTCCGTTCCCTCTCAACTTCTTCCTGCCCAGCCGGATGCAGAAACGGAAACTGGAGCATTTGCAGACCGTCTGCGGCGAAAGCTGGCAGGACGACGAAGAGCAGCTGGAGAAACAGGTGAGGAAGGACGTCCGAGGCAGGTAACGTCCCGGAGCGGAGGCTTCAAGGTGGCGTAGAGTGATAAAATCGAGGATCAGATAGACTCCTCTTAGCCCTGGAAGCTCTCTTGCCAGTATTTGCACAGCTGCCACCTAGTGGCTCAGTGTGGCCATTGCAGCCTGTTTGAAAACTTTTAAAAAACGGGGTCTCAATGTTTTATAGGTGGCATCTGGATCCTCAAAAATTGTCTTTTTTTTTTTTATTGAAAGTTTTATAAAATTTTACAATATAAATCCCCCTCTCCCCCCAAACCCAACCCTCCATCTCTCCCCCCCTCCCTTCCCAGAGCCAATCACAGGATTAACAATAAAATAATCATGATCTAACTAACATTAATCAACTATTAATCTAACAAATCTATAACTTCCTTTAACTCTCTTTTAAAACAAATATACAGTTATTGTCTTGTATGTATCCTAACTTACAACCTAAGTGTTGGAGATGTGGAAATTTAGATGCAACTTATTTTCATATTTGGTGGACATGTAGGGAAGTTAAAGCATTTTGGATTAAGATATGGTGGAATATTCAAAATATTTTTAAGAAAAAGATAAA